ATTACACACTTTAGTGAAATACGCCGTAGAACAAGACATCTTTAATGCTACTAGTAATTACACACCTTAGACTATGTTAGCATAGCATCCTAAAATAAAATTTTGAAAGGATTTAGAAGGCTTATTTCACGTTATACTTCAAGAAGTGATGATTTTTTTAGAAAGAGATCTAAATGAACATATACCCAGTGTAATAAGAGATTAGGAGGGAAATGCATAAAGGGTATGGTCTCGAGAAGATAAATGTGGAGGGTAAATTTATCTTAGATGTTTCATTGATTTTTGATCTTACTATAGTTAATATATAATTTATGAAAAGAGATAAATATGTTATCATATATAATAGTGGGGTGACATGTTCTAAGATAAAATTCTTTCTTATTAGAAAGTCATATAAGAAGATTTTATTGAACTGTAAAGTTATACACGAGAGAGTTTATAAAGTATTAGTTATGGATGTAAAAGTCAAGATGAGAGCAATTGAAGAAACCATACACGAGCTTCACGAATCAAGCAGTGACATTTAGAGGGTGAAAAATAAAGGAGTTTCAAACACAAAATCTTGGATGGAGATTTAGTCAAACACAAAAATGTGTAAACTATATGCATAACATAATAACACAAGATATTTTTAAAAAATAAATTTAAAAGACGTTGGATGAATCAAGATATTTTAGACTTAAAAGTAAACAATCATGATGTGGGAACGAAAAATGTGCTGAAATAAGTTAGAGTAAAAAATAAATGTTTTAAAGAATGGTTAGTTGTAAATGCTCAAACTTAGAAAAAGTATAGCAAAGTTAAGAAAGAGATCAAGGAAGTGGTGAATGAAGCAAGAATTGAAGTTTTTTTATGGGTTATACCAATCGTTAGGAAGCAAAAAGGGAGAAATATTGTACATAAGCCTGTTAAGGGAAAAGAAAGAAAGTCGAGAAATTTGGATCAAGTGAAGTATATTAAAGATAAAGAAGACAACATTTTAGTTCGGGAAAAGAATATAAAGTATAAATGGAAGAAGTATTTCTATAATTTATTTAATGAATGATTTGATATCTCACCATACTCTAATATTCTTGGCATTTGAGTAGATGTTTGAAACTATAATTACTATTGTCTGATCCGAAAATACGAGGTAAAAAAAAGTCTTGAAAAGGATGAATAATAGTAAGGTAGTTGGGTCAGACAACATATTTATTAAAGAGTGGAAAATTCTCGAAGATATAAGTATTGAGTAACTCACCAAATTTTTAACGCGATTATGAAGGTAATGAAAATGCCAAACGAATAGAGAATAAACACTTTGTTCCAATCTATAAGAATAATGATGATATATAAAATTGTGCAAATTATAAGGGGTTAAACATATAACTTATACCACGAAGTTATGAAAAAGAGTGGTTAAATAATAAAGACTAAGAAAAAAAAAGACTTAAGTTAGTGATATTCGATTTGTTTTATGTTTGGAAGGTCAATTATGAAAGTGATCTTTTTACTACGCCGTATGATGAAGCAAAATCAAATGGATCAATAAGACTTGTACTTAATTTTTATTGACTAGGAGAATGCGAATGATAGAGTGCCTAAAGATATTTTATGGAAATTCCTAGAGAATAAAGGATTTAAGATTTCCTATATTTGAAATATAAAGGGGTTTCGACTAGTGTGTAGAAATGAGATAAAGAGACAAACAATTTTTCCATAACAATAGGAACACAACATGGTTCAACCTTAAACCCTTGCCTTTTTAATATAATGTTAGACGTAGTTACGAACTACATTCAAGAACTGGCACTGAGATGTACTCCCTCTGTCCCAAATTATAAGAGAAATTTACTTTTTAGATTCATTGAATAATTAATGTATCTGGTCTATATATAGACCAAATACATTAATTATTCAATGAATCTAAAAAGTGAATTTCTCTTATAATTTGGGACGGAGAGAGTATGTTTATTGCAAATTTAAATCCTCCTACTTTAAAAGTTAAAGGAGAACTTAAATAAGAGGTCGAAGATTAGAGATGAGCCTTAAAACTGTATGAATTTCGCCTAAGAAAAAGTATATAAATGCAAGTTTAGCAAAAATAAAAACTTTTTTAATCTAATGGTGAAAGTTCAAGACCATATCATACCACAAGTCACAGGTTTAAATATCTTGAGTCTATAATACAAAACAATGAATAAATAAAAGATGTAAACTATTGAATTCAAACTAAATTATGGAAATGAAGGAGTTCCTCTAAATTTTATGTAATACAAAAGTACCTCTTAAGATTAAGGAATAATTTTATAACGATAAAAGCTACAACGTTGCACGAAGTATGATGTTCAGCGCAGTGTTTTAAAACCCAACCTGACCCGGCCAGTCGGACCGGTCTGACTGAGAACCGGTGGGCCAGACGGTCCGATTAAGGGATAAGACCAGAATTACATTTAGATCGGATGAAACCGGTGTGAATCGGCTGGATCACCGATTAAACCAGTGAACCGGCGATTTTTACTGAACCGGCAGGTTTGACTATTTATTTTATTTTTTAGGGCTTTTGAAAAAAAATTAACATAAACGCTTTGCCTCCTCGTTTCCCAAACCTAGGCATTTGAAAGGTTTTTTTTTATTCTGTCTTTTCTTTTTCTAATTGAAGTCATTCTCAATTTTCTCTACCAACAAAAACTCCCACTTGCTGCTGTTATTTGATATTCCTTGTTTGTCGTCAAAAATTTCATCAAAACATCAAAAACAGGTTATTTCTTTTTTACTTGGTCTAATTTGCATTGATTTTTTTCAATATGAATATTATTGTTTCATTTTGTTGATTAATTGATATAGAAAATAAATGATTAAATTTGATCATTTTCTATAAAATTGGGTCTTTTAGTTTAACAAATTGAGATAGAATTTGTATGAATGAAGCAGTTTTATACTTTTATGAATTAACTTATTATAGACTGATAATGAAGTTGTTGTATATTGGAGATAGAAATTGGGATAGATATATATTACTATAATAGTTGTTGTATATATTATGGAGATAGAAATTGAGTTTAAAACTATGTAATCTAAATTATATAGTAAGACAAAATTTTCTGTTTTTTATTAATTTAAATTATATAACAAAGAAAAGTTTCAGGATTTTATTAATCTAAAATATATAGCAAAGACTGGAAAGCAAAGTTTCTATTTTTTTATTATATATGGTGATGCACAGTAGCGATGCTTGGTAGCCTATATGTAATATACAACAACATATTCATATATTTTGGATTTAGATATGCTACATATTTAATGTTTCTTATAATGTTTTTATAAATTCAATAATTTTTGTTTAGAATTGTGTTTTGTTAATATTTTTGTAATATAGTTTTGTATTTTTAAATTTTGATTGATATTAGATATGACATCACCCGCTGAAGTAATAACTTCAGAAGAAGTTACATCTCAAAATTCAACCTAACTCCAGAGCAGTAGGGGAAAAACTGACATAGCTTGGGGTCATTGTAAACAAATTGAAGAGAAAAGAAAACTTGTTAATTTGTGTATTTACTGTGATAAAATTATTAGAGGAGGGAGATTAATAGGTTCAAATTTCATTTGGCTGGAATAAAAGGTCAAGTTGAAACATGTAAAAAGGTGCCTCCAGATGTTCAATATCAAATGAAACAAAATCTTGATGAAGGTGCAAATAAGAGAAGAAAGACTCAAGCACAAAATTTTGATGTTGATCTTACTATTCAAGAGGGTGGTGTAGTAGAAATGGATGTAGAATAATCAAGATCAAATTCAGTGATTGTGTCTCAAAAGAGAAAGAATACTAGTCGTATTGGTAATTATTGGTGATTGTGTCTCAAAAGAGAAAGAATACTAGACTTATTATAATACTATAACTTATGAATTGTTAAGTTTCTATCACTTCTTTGAATTTATAATTTGCTACATTAAGTTTCTATCACTTATTTTGATTGTTACCAATACTTTTGTTTATTCTAAATTATTTGAATTTATAATTTTCTATATTATTATAGTTACAAATTTCAGGTAATGAATATATTTTTTATAGAAACCGGGTCAAAAGTCATGCGGTCTGACCAGTGACCCACTGGTCCGACCAGTAACTCAGTAACTTTACCGAGTCGATCACCGGTCTGAATTTTAAAACATTAGTTCAGCGGTTAAGATCTACAATATTATACGGAGCATGATGTTGACAAGACAAAACATAATAATTTAAAAAACAACAACAACATTAAAGAGAGTGATGGAATAACACTTCTAATAAAGGATGAGGAAAATAGATTTATGTGAATTATACATATAAAGAGAATACATATTAATTTGGTGTAAAAAAAAGTAGAACGGAGATAAGATAAATAACTAGAGTAGATAAAAACCTAAAAAGTATATAAGAAAGATTTTAGAAAATTCTCTAAATTAATAAATAAATATAATTTGTGATAAAACATTATAGTTTAATTTAATTCATGTAACCGATGTTATGTAATAAATAAAATTTAGTTGTTGGTGTATGTTCAAAAATATCTTAGTGTATGATCATTAATGGTATAATGTAACTTTTGTCTTACAAAAATGTAACCAAGTTAAAATGAGTAAAATTGTTTACTATTTTATTAGTATACGATTTTATCAAATAAAATATTCCCCAAGTATTTAAAACAAATAAGTGCATCTTTTTTGCTTCCATTATTTACTCAGAAGTTTGCAATCTCAATGTATAAGACAAGGGAAACTAAAATTTAATGCCCCACCAGACAATATCCTTCCAAGTTTCCAACTTATAAACATTAATTTTTATTGAAAAAATACAAGAAAAAATAAAAAGAAAAAATGCAGAAAGAAAAACAAAAGGCATTAGTGCATTACACAGTAACAAAAAAGCTAGTACTATTCATTCTACCCCCTCTCTCTTTTAAGTTTTATCCTCCCACCATTCTCATTCTCACTCCAAAACTCTCTCTCTCTCTCTTGAATCATCTTCATCACTGAAAATGGCTCTTCTACTAGACAACGGTGAAGGTATTTTACTCTCTCTAGACTCACACAAATCAGTCCCAGCACCATTTCTCACCAAAACATACCAACTCGTCGACGATCCCTCCACAGATCACATAGTTTCTTGGGGTGAAGACGACTCCACCTTCGTCGTTTGGCGTCCTCCAGAATTCGCAAGAGACCTTCTCCCAAATTACTTCAAACACAATAACTTCTCCAGCTTCGTTCGCCAACTCAACACCTACGTAACTAACTAACTAACTCATAATAGAATCTCAAGTTATTGTATTGTAATTTAACTGATTAGTCTTTATTTGTAATAGATTAATTAACTTTTTTTTTTCTCTTTCTATTTTTTTTAGGGTTTTAGAAAGATTGTACCTGATAGATGGGAGTTTGCTAATGAATATTTCAAGAAAGGAGAAAAGCATTTGCTATGCGAGATTCATAGAAGAAAAACAACGCAGCCGCAACAAACCGGAATCATGACCCATCACCATCACCACCACCAGCACCAGCACCACAATGTTCCTCCGAGTTTCTTTCCGTTTTCGAACACTAGAGTAAGCATTTCTCCACCTAATGACTACTCCGACGAACATCTCAACAATTGGTCATGTGATTCTCCGCCATTAACTTCACCGTCGTTCATCAATGGAGGACCAACAACAACAACAACAACCACAACAACAAACTACACCACTTCTGTTACTGCTCTTTCCGAGGACAATGAAAGACTAAGAAGAAGTAACAACATGTTAATGTCGGAGTTAGCTCACATGAAGAAGCTTTACAATGATATAATCTACTTTGTTCAGAATCATGTTAAGCCTGTAGCTCCAAGTAACTCTTACTCTTCTTCTTATTTACTTCCACATGCTTCTTCAAATCCTAATGCTATCAATGGTGGTGGAAATGTTTCAATGATGCAAAGACCAATGAACCAGATTAACTCTACCAACCCTAAACATGTGACTCAGTTTCAACACCAAACTCAATCTCATCATCAACATCATCATGGTGTGAATGTGAATGTGAATGTGAATGTGAACTCTCCAACAACCACATCAAGAAGCTCTATAACAATGGTGGAAGGTCACAAAAGTAATAACTATAACTGCAGCAAGACAAAGCTTTTTGGAGTATCACTACAGTCCAAGAAAAGAGTGCACCCTGAATGTGGATCTAATAGTCCAACTAACTTGGAAACCAACAAGACTCGTTTGGTTTTGGATCAAAAAGATGATTTTGATTTTGATTTGGGTTTGAATCTCATGCCTCCATCCACTTGTTAATTAATTAGTTAGTTTCTGAAAGAAAGAAAAAAAATCAATTAATCCTAAGTTAGCTAGCTTCTTTTTTCATCTTCTTCTCTTTATATTTTCTTGTTTGTTTTCATTTTATTTCTATGGTTGAAAATTGAAGTTGATCAAGTTTTGAGTCACGGAGGAGCTAAATGATCATATTGATGAAAACATGTCTTTGTGCGTGTGATTCTGTGTACATATAACTTAGTGCCAATATTATTATCTTTGTTCAAAATAGTTGATATTTGGTAGTAATAGTAGTAGTAAGAACTAAGAATATTAAAGATTCAAATTAAAGCCAAACTTTAAATGTTCAAGTTCAAAACTCCTGTTTTTGGTTGAGTTTTTCTCATTTTCATTGGTGCAATATTTATTGCTCCCTACATTATTGTGTTGGTTTATGTTTTCTTTCCTTTCTGTTTGGTTCAAATTCATCATCTCTTTTTGCTGATTTTGATATCTGCATGCTTCAGTAACATTAGTTAATGCTACTATGCTGCTACCATAAGAGAGAGAGAGAGAAAGAGTTATTAATCATCATAAAGTGTTTCTTACTACCATTTTATTCATTGTGTAAAAAGCTGAGAACTCTTGAGAATGTATGTAAACCACAGCCTGGCTTAAAGTCACATTTCTCAGCTTTTCTAGAATTGGCATAATTTTATTTGTAAAATAATTAACATTTCAATTCAAATTTAAAAACTTTATGATAAGAATAAGATGATTGAATGATAGTAGTATTAACAAAAGTCACTACTAATAAATAAGCACTTTCTTAGATGTGTATAGTGTATAGTACAATGATTTATATAAAAAGATTGTTATCATTATCATAGTGTTTTTATTCAAGCAAGAGAGTTTGTAAATTATAAGGCTATACTTGCCGTATTTATGAAGTGTCAGTAATGCAGAAACAGACAAATAAAATTAAGAATAAAATATTCAGAAATTTTAATAATTTTTATAAAGTTTGATATGAAAAGAACAAAGATATATACATAATTGAATTATTCCATGAAAGCGAAATGTAAGAAATGTTTCTTTCAAAGCTTCTTCTATATACTTCTAAGGACCAGAAACATTTGTCTTTCCCTACTTTAAGTATTAACATTTTCACCATACTATTCAGATTCCACGTTCATTTTTTTACTTGTGACAAGAACATGAGCACTGTGAAAAAATAAAAACATTGACCGGTTTGTGAAAAGACCATTAAATATATTGTGACACACATATATTCCTGAAAACTGAGGAGTATTAATATTTCAAACAGAGAAACTCTGAAACACATCAGAGAAAGCATGATAAGAAATATCTATATTTAGGTCTATAAACATAGTGAAATTAATTATTACTACATTTCATAAGAGAGGTGAAAAGTGTAAAAATGATAAAAGACCAAATTAAAGAGAAATAACATGTAACTATGTTTAGACATCTTTTAGGTTAAAGTTTGGCACGTGAGAGGTGTTTTGCACGTGTGGGAGGGAATTAAGAGTGGAATGTCAGATAAGGTTAATGGGTGTAAGAAAAGTAAAGTAGTGAAATTGAGTTGAGTTTGAAGATGAAAAAAAAAAGTGAGTAGTGAGTGAGTGGTAAAGAAAAAGAAGCTTTCGGTTTTGGACTTTTTAATAATGCATTTGAGATTGAGGTGTTGCTAAATTCTAAACAAGCGTATCGAAACACTCGATAAAGTTTTATTTATTTGACCCTAGAAAAAGATAAAATTGAAAAAGAACATTTTCGTTATGGGGGAAAAGAAATTTAAAATTTGTTTGACACACGTTGAGTTTTGCTTTCATATGTTGCTTCATAGTGCCTTTGGGACCTCATGGTTCATGCTTTGTTTTTTTTAGTTCATGGCTTATGCTTTGCCACTTTATGCATTTTTTTTGCACTCATTACTCCTTTAAATTTAAATATTTAGAGAGAAGAAATATAATAATGGTGGGAGAAAAAAAATTATAAATTAAGTGTTAAATAAATATTGAAAAATTATGTGTTTAAATATCATTAATTTTGAAGAAAATTGTTTATCTATATTTGTAGAAGGAGGGGCATTAATGTGTCCGTTGTAGTTCATTGTATATACATTTTATTGTAAGATTTTAAACACAATTTTTTTTATGTTGTAATTTTTTTAAATTATTAAAAAAATCAATTTATTAATTAATTTTTTTTTTAAAGTTTAATTTAGAAAATACATAACATAGATGTGTATTATGTTATTTTTGTTAAAAAAATATTGGATCCAGAAACATATAAGAAATGGCCATATTCCAAGCCTGACATACTACCAACATGGGCCTAAGAAATAGTCCAAATAGTAGGACGAGTTAACATGTCACTTCGAGAGTTTATATTGCACCCTCTATTTTTTACAATTTTACGTTTATATCTTCAAAAATTTCGAAAAACATGAAATTTTTATATTAATACTATGTTTGAAATATCAATACTCCTCGCATATTTTTCGTAAAATTTTGTTATCTATCGAAAATTTTAAATTTTCTATGACACTTATTGGAATTTTCATAATTTTCGATAATCACCAAAAAATTTCGAAATTTTCAAATTTCCAGTACACTGTCAACGAGATTTTTTTTTTCATTTTCAATTGATTTTCTTCGCACATAACTGAAACAATAAACATGCTACCTGATTAAACATAGAAATTTAATAATTGTTATACATACAAGGGTATAAAATAAACTAAGATAACTTACTAAATTCCTCTGCCCAGTGCCTAAAGCGACCCGCAAATGTTGATTCTCATGCTTTTGCATCATCACTATAATTCTCTCTCCAACGGTCAGTGACAGGAGACAGTGGGCAATCAGATTTCAACTTTACGTGAACCCAATGATTTTTGTTGACAAAGCCAATAACAATGATTTTATGTCTGCTCGTATACATAGGTGGAGCTAAGGCCTAGAGGAAAAAAAGGTGATATTAAGTCTCATGGAAAGGGAAACAAATACAACACTGTATCTAGAAGAAATAAGGTAACCCATATAAGGAATGCTCATCCGTTTATCCTTACCCTACACACCCATGTGTTCTACTCGTAATGAATTCCTAATTATAGAAACCGAGTCATAGAATAACTTGGAAAAAAATTGAGGGCGTTGATAAATTTGAGTGTCTAACTGTGCCCGAACCAAAGCCCACATGTCTTTGCCCCATCCAAGTTTAGCTACAATGCAACAGAATCCACAAGTCCCATCATTTTCATCATCAATAATTTCATCAATGTATAGATGTAAGAAAGCATGAAATTGGGACGAGTAAACATGTCTTGAAGATGCAGGGGACGGTTGAGCTGACAATTGACTAGACGATTGACATTCATCTAGTTTGGTGCATGATCTCCTTGTAGTCTGACTCCCTTGCGAGAGCTCAGCAAGTTCCCAATGGTTAGGATCACGATGCACATCATTCTCAAACCTTTTTTACTCTTCTTTGCTCCCCTCACTACGCCAAAAATAAGATTAGAAAGCGCACATAAGGCAGCGCTTCTTATCAAAAGCGCTGCTAAAAGTCCATTTTAAAAACACGGAAATTTAGTCGTATACCTTAGACAACACTTTCTAAAAAAGTGTTTCCTAAGGGGGTGAATATGGTTTGATAAAGTGCTACTAAAGGGGGTAGGTACTGAAGCGCTACCTAAAGGGTGAGCTTACAAAGCGCTTTTTAAAAGCGTTGCCTAAAGGTTTGGCTTAAGCAGCGCTTTATGAAAGCACTGCCTAAAGGGGGTGAATGTGGTTTTATAAAGCGCTGCTAAAGAGGGTAGGTACTGTAGTGCTTTGGAGAAGCGTTGCCTAAAGGGTGTGCTTACAAAGGGCTTTTTAAAAGTGTTGCCTAAAGGGTGGGCTTACGCAGCGCTTTGTAAAAGTGCTGCCTAAAGGAGATGATTAATTAGCGCTTTCTACTAGAAGTGCTTGCTAAGGGTGGGCTTACGCAACGCTTTTGAAAGCGCTGCCTAAAGTCCTGTTATAAAAAAAATAAAATACGCCCAGCAGTATCACACAATAACGTTATTATTTTCAGAAACCCATTTTCACGAACCCAACACAGTTACGAACCCGCTGAACCCATATTCACGAAGTTTTTCGTTTGATTCTAAACGAAAATCATTTCATCCTTTCTTCAAGGTTCTCATCCTTCTTCCATTCAAGACCATTTCATCCTTTCTTCCATTCACAACCAAGGTTCTCTTCTCCTCTAGGTATGATTTTTGATATATTTGATAATGTTGATATACAATGTTGCGTTTGGTTTAGTTGATAGTGTTGATAGTGTTGATTTAGTGTTGATAATGTTGCATTATGTTGTGTTTTGTGTGGCATATGGTTTTTGCATGTAAGGTGTTTGTGAAAATGTCATACTGAGTTTTTCATGTAAGGTGTTTGTGTAAATGTCACAATGAATATTGCATGTATTCGTTGAGAGAAAATATGTTCATATACAATTAATCGAGCTATACATTTTGGTTTGAGAGGTTGTCGTAATAACACTTATAATGTTGAAATTGAAAGCACTTCACATAGAGTTAAATTGAAATTGAAAGAACTCATATAGTTGATGGTGTAAAGTTGATAATATAAGTGGTTATTTGATGATAATATAAAGTTGAAATGATAATATAAAAATTAGTGATAATATAGAATAGAAACGATAATATATATTCTTGATGGTGTATAAATATTAGTGATAATATAGATATAAATATTAGTGATGATCTTTGACGGCCATCGATAATATGAATATTCTTGATGTATGGTGTATAAATATTAGTGATTATTTAATGTTGTTTTATTAGTTTAATATTGTTTTATTAGTAAAATATATGTTAAAAAGAATATTAGTGATTATTTAATGGTGTATACATATATGTTTAATATTGTATAAATATTCTAATGTAATTCTTATTCTATAGATTTTTTTTGTTATAATGAAATTAATTGATCATTTATATAGGTTACTTG